AACTATAACAACAATTATGAGGACAGCTCAAGAGAAGGCAGTGTTTCATTCTGTTGTACATACAGTTGTTATGAATCACAATCAACTCAATGGCACCACACAAAAATTACCTCTATAGATCAGACTTTGAAAGAATGCAATGGTGATCAAAACCAGACAAATTCCCATCAAGGAAGTCAGAGACTAGTGGAAATGGCTCATGTTAATCAAACCATTATGGGAAATGTAAAATTGCTATAGCCATTGCACTAGAGCTTAAATTTTGAGCACCCCAGTTTGCAAAAGGCCAAGGATGGCAGTGAAAGCCCAAAATCCATTTGTAGAGTACCCACATAGATTAAGCCTTCATTGAATTATTTCTGATCACTAACCAAGGATGTAGAACATGTTGCCCTCATGTGGAGTGCCTGGGAAAATAGATTGCCTCCACCCCTCTGCAGCCAGCTCGGGGAGGGGCAGTCTCTCTTGGGCCTTGCCTGGGTGTATCCTTGATAGAAGTCATTGGGCTGAGGACAGTACAGGGGGTCACATAGCCATGGTCTTGTGCTACTGGTCTCACTTTGGCTGCCTTGGTCAGACCTAGACCAACTTTGTCAGTCCTTCTATTTAACGATGTACATGCTCCAATCATGGTCCCATTCATGCTTCTGTAGTCCCACATGTAATTGTGATGTATCGACCTGCCACCTCACTTGAGTTTGTGACAGTGTCCTTTGTTCCATGCCTTATTTAACTCATGTCCCAATTTTCTGATGCCACTTTTACCTCATGCTAATGGCCTCTCACACCTGGATAAAATGTCTGTGTCTTTGTCACTCTTAAGAGTTAATGGGTGTTCTTCTTAAATGATATTTGAGATTGGAGTCTCTTCAGCACCTTGAAACAAATAAATGTGGCATTGGAATGGAAAGGCCAACCTTAAAAAAATTCTAAGAAGTAATTTTAGCAGGCCTTGGTTTTGGGGAGTGGGTGGGATGGGGACGAGGATAAGTAGAAAACATGTATCGTACTTTAAAGAATATTTGAACTGGTTATTGTAACAGAAATAACCAGCACGAAATGCTATTAAAGAAGATATAGTGTGAGCAATTTGGTTGAACATAATATTCTCTTGGCAACATGAATATGACCTGTTACCAAGAGATGAATAAGATCAATAAGCTATGAAGTATAAATTTTAATTGTTTTCTCTCTTACTTTCCATTGTCACCATTTAATTGGAATAATGGAACTTTTCTTTCTTTCTTTTCTTTTTTCCATTTAGATGTTGCACGAGCGATTGAGCTCCTGGAGAAACTACAGGAATCTGGCGAAGTCCCTGTGCACAAGCTGCAGTCCCTCAAAAAGGTGCTTCAGAGTGAGTTCTGCACCGCCATCCGCGAGGTACGACACTGAGATCGCAATAACTGTGTTCAGCAAGATGTCTTTGAAATAGAAAACAGGTTTTCTTCCACACAAACAGTTGACAGCGTTAGGATTCGAGTTGCATCTGAACTTGCTGTTTTTAGCTCCTTAGACAGATGATAAAATATGCTTCCATCTGCCATATTCCTACATTAGACTCAGTTAGGATCTACACAGCAGGTGACTGTTGCATGCCATCTGAGTGATTTGGTGGTCAAATGTTGCCACCTGGAAATTCAGGTGGAAATGATCACAATTATTAGAGACAGAGTTATTCTTCGACGAACTCTCAGCTAAATTGGTCAAAGGGAAATCGGGAAGAGTAACTGCCCAGGACTAATTGCACAGCGATTCAAACATGACTATTCAGTGCAACAATTGAAAATCTAAAAAGAGCCCTAAAATTACCTCTAAGGGCAATTGTTAGTGATGTTTTCATCGCTGATGGTTTCAAGAAAACCAATTTGAACCAAGTGAATTGAAACGACTCCCAGAATTCCATACTGGAAGGAATCAACCCGACGGCGCCTGGCTTGGTTTGGGGGGTTGGTGATAGAATACGCTATCCAATTAATGTATTAATCAGTGATAAGAGAGTTCACTTGAACAAAATATGTTATATTGCTTTCTTCAGTAAGCTCACAATCTCCTCCCAAGTAGGTCATAAGTAATTATTTATTATAATAAGGTCTGTAAATGCAGCATATTTGCTCTCTTAATATCCCTAAAAATGATTTCCCCACCGTCATCCTCTCTTAAGATGGTTGAACCCAATAACTTTCTGGAGACTATGTTGTCGCAAAATACATATAACATACACACTTCGCTCAAGACCAGGTGTCCTCAAACTATGGCCCGCGGGCCACATGCGGCCCACTGAGGACATTTATACGGCCTGCTGGGTGTTTTTGCCCCATTTGTTTTTTTACTTCAAAATAAGATATGCGCAGTGTGCATAGGAATTTGTTCATAGTTTTTTTTAAAACTATAGTCCGGCCCTCCAACGGGTCTGAGGGACAGTGAACTGGCCCTGTTTAAAAAATTTGAGGGCCCCTGCTCAAGACCATTCTGAGTCATTGTGACCAAATCAGACAGGGCAGAACTGCCCCAGCGGTTTCCATGACTGTGGCTCTTGGGGGGAGAAAGCCTCACCTTTCCCGACCAAAGTGACTAGTGATTTCTAACATGTAACCACCACATGGCCAGGGCTCCTCATACACCCCACAAGGAATGTGTAAATGAAGCTTCTTTTCATTTTGCGACTCGTATTAGGACTCCACCTGGATGAGTCAGGCAGCATGCTGTGGCATAAATAACTGCATGTTATTGTTGTTGTTGTTGTTTGTGCCAAGTCCGTTCTGACGCACCGCGACGCCGTGCACAGTAACAGGAAGCCCGGCACAGGACTGCGCCTTCCTCCCACTCGTCCCTGTGCTTGAACCCTCTGGCAGCCATGGGGCCCATTCAGTTCTTTGAGCACCTTCCTGTTTCTCTCTTCCTTCAGTTTTTGGGCTGGGCACCCTGTGCCACTTTATGGACGGAACATGACAAGGTTGTGCTCGCAAAGCCTGTGCCTTTCTGCAGGGCGTCTGGATGGAGCCTCTCGATGATAGGATGTTCTCAGTGTGTTGTGGGATTGAGTTGAGGCAGAGACTCCACTGAGGGCCTCTCTCGTCCTCTAGTTCTGTTGCTGGGGCTGATGATGCTGATGGGGTTGGGAGCGGGGTGGGGGGGTGGGCGCTCTTATTCCTTGGAGACCATGTGGACCATAAGATCAACCACTCTGTCACCATAACTCAATTCATTGTCATACCTGGAAATGAGCTTGACAAAGTGGCAGTGGAGGGCAATGTCAGTCCCATAGCAAAGGTAGGAGAGTGGGTATCACTATTAAAGTCACAGGAGAACACCTGATCCTCAGTGTAGCCTAAGATGCCCTTTAAGGGACCATCTGATGCCAGCTTCACCACCTTTTTGATGTCATCATACGTGAAGCTTTCACAGACAGCAAGTGAGGTCCCTAACTGACCCAGTGGGGGTGGCGACATGGAAGGCCATGCCAGTGAGTTTCCCATTCAGCTCTGGGATAACCTTTTCCCCGATCTTGGCAGCACCAGTAGATGTGGGTATGATTCCTGGTCCAACGTGACTAAGTCAGTTTACTCGGACCTTCATCACCGTGTCTCCAGGATTCGGCTGCGACAGCACGAGAAGATGCAGCCGCCTGTCGCCCAAGGAGGAGCAGAGAGCCAGGACCTTCCTCTTTTTCACGACCCCTCTACTTTACGAAGCACTGTGTTTTCCTCCAAGCATGGGTCTCCCCTGACAACATGTCCAAAGTTTGTAAGATGAAGTCTTGCCATCCTTGCCTCTAAGGAGCAGTCTGGTCATACTTCTTGCCAGCCAGTCAGTTTGTACTTTTAGCAGTCCCATAAGGGTTTTGAAAACAGACCATTTTTCCCTGGCACTTTGGGACACATGGGAACCATCAACCTTTTGGTTAGTGGTTGTGGGACAGTGAATGATGGCACGTCTAGCCACAGTTTTTGCAACCCCCATAAAATGACTGGAGGTCACCATGTGCATAGGATGTATAGAATTCTAATGAAGGCATTTTTCAGTTTTGCTATTCTTCTAGGTATAAAATAAGCCACTGAAAAGGGGGGGGCGGTGAAATCTTATTACCATCAAGAAAGAAGAGTAGGAACAGGGTCCTTTGAATCCTGAGAGTCCCATGCTGAGGCTGTTTGATCTTGGCAACATTGGTGATAAGTTAGAGAAGAAACAAGAAAGCGGAACGAAGGCCCACAGCAAGAGATATAATGGTGAGCTTGTTGCCCACAGAGCAAGGAGAGTGCCTTTGAGGAGGCAGCTTGCTTTCAGAGTGAAGTGCCTTTTGGGCATTTATCGGCAGTGTCAAAGGAGCTTTGTAGCACTTGCCAAAGCAGAGCAGAGAGGAAGGGTCTCTGTGGCTGAGAGGCTGAGGACCAGAACAGAGAAAAGTTTGTTTGTGGGCATGGCTAGGAAGAGATATGTTGGATCTAAAAGCTGCATCCTTAACAAAGCTGACCCTACATTGTAGCCTGTCATCTTCTGCAATAATCCCATAATCATGAGTATTGTCCGTGAGTTCTGTGTAGCCATTGCAATGGAATGAACCGGCAGGGAAATAAGGTGCTGTGTTAGTCTGGATTGACTAGAGAAACAAATCTATAGAGACACTCATATGTGTGTTAAAGAGAACTTGATATAAAAAACAATTGTATATTGAGAAAACATCACAGCCCAGTCCTGATCAAGTCCGTAAGTCCGATATTTGCCCGTATGTGTGATACCAGTCCATAAATTCCTCTGCAGACTCATCCAGCACATGCAATGATGCTGAATGCAGGAAGGTGACAGGCCAGAGGGTGGAAAGTTGTGTGGATTCAATGGCATTGGATGTATCCAGGGCTCGGGCTGCCATCAGAGTGGCTCCATGTGGCTTGTCCATAGAAAGGAAGCAGAGAGGGAGTGTCACCCTCCTCCAGGGAGAAAGAGATGAGGTCCCAGAATCGTCATGAGAAGGCCACACCCACAAGGAACCATCATCAGGCTGTGGCCTGATTGACAGGCTAGACTCCACCCTTACATTGTATTTATCAAGTTGACATGAAATTAAGTAACCACCACAGGTGTTATGGAAGGTACAAATGATTTCAAAATTGGTAAAGAAGGTTGGGAGGAGAAGCAAGTTTGAATTCCGTTTTACAGGCTTGGTCCAATGGTTGATGCTGGGCTGATGGTGAGTCTCCTCCGCTTTTGCAAAGTTGGAGGAGGTCAGATGCCTCTACCATACCTCTTTCACAGGAGTCAGTGCTTCACTGCTTGTGTCACCCAGAGATTCCTTTTGCAACCTTAATCATGAGTAACACATATTCTTCTTCTCCATCAATGTTAGCTATGTGTCAGCACTAAGTGGCGAAGCTCCAGATGATGACTTGGGAAGAGTCAAGCAAACCTTTCTCACTCAGTATTTAAACGGTAGTCTACCCAATTCAGTTCCAGCTTGAATTCTGCTGGAAGTTAGCTTATCCTGTTTATGCAGGGAGAAAGATGATGTTTTCTACTCCTGTAAGAATTAATGGCAGCAGCCCTCAGAGGCAGTGCGACCCTGCCCTGTGGAGTTGCTGTGAATGAGAACTGTCTTGGTGGCAGTTAGGCATGTTTGCTTTCATTGCTTCTGCGGTGTCTTCATCAGGCATCATGATTCTCTATTTAATTTTAGTTTATACTGACCACGTTGTTGTTAGGTGCCATCGAGTCAGTTCCACCCGTAGTCACCTTACACAGAACAGAAGGAAACACTGCCGGGTCCTGCGCCACCCTCACAATTTCTCCTATGCCTGAGCCCATTGTCCCACTCACAGTATCAGTTCACCTCCATGAGGGTCTTCCTCTCCTCCACTGCCCCTCTACTTTACCAAATGTGATGTCCTTCTCCGGGGACTGGTCTCTCCTGACAACATGTCCAAAGTATGTGAGACACAGTCTTGCCATCCTGGCCTCTAAGGAGCACTCTGGCCATACTTCTTCCAAGACAGATGATTTGTTTGTCTTTTTAGCAGTCCATGATGCTTTCAGTAATCTTCTCCAGCACCTCAATTCAAATGCATTGATTTTTCTCCAGGCTTCCTTATTCACTTTCCCATATATATAAAGCAATTGAAAATACCATGGTCAAGTCCACCTTCATCCTCAAAGTAACATCCTTGCTTTTCATTCTTTAAAGAGATCTTCTGCAAAAGAGTTACCAAATACAATGCATCTTTTAATCCCTTGACTGCTGCTTCCATGAGCATTGATGAGATCCAAGGAAGACAACATCAATGTTTTCTCCATTTACCATGATGCTACCTATTGGTCTAGTTGTGAGGATTTTGTTTTTCTTTACATTGAGTTGTAATCCATACTGAAGGCTCAATTGTTTATCTTCATCA